TATCTATCTATCTATTTATCTATCTATCTATCTATCATCTATCTCTATCATCTATCTATCTATCATCTATCTATCTATCTATCTATCTATTTATTATCTATCTATCTATCTATCATCTATCTATCTCTATCATATTTCTTTTTCTTTCTTACCACTTCACTTTGCTTTTTTTTTTTTACTCTTGTAATTAAATCTTCAATAAACAGTGTAAACAAAAAATGTTCGAAACTTTTAGGAGATGCTCAGGAGCAAACCTGGAATTAAAGAGAAAGTTCCTAACAGTGAAGACAATTAACCAGTGGAACAGCATGCCTTCAGAAATCGTGGGTGCTCCATCGCTCGATGTTTTTAAGAAGAGTCTAAACTCTAGACAGTCACTTATCTAAATGGTTAAAGTTTCTCCTGCTTGAGCAGGGGGCTGGACTAGAAGATCTCCAAGGTTCCTTCCATCTTATTCTATTCTATTCTAAATATTGAGTATTCATGAATTTTTTGGGAGAAGCACTCCTGTAAGCAGAAAAGACCCCACTGGATTTAATCCATGGTGCCCAGTCATTGCTAGTTTGTTAAACATTCACAAAATCCCTACCTATTGGCAGCCCTATAAGAGACAACTGAAATGGTCACACTTCAGTGGGTCAGGCCAGCGTAGGCTTTTAAATATTGATAGTCTCACAGGCCAGCGTAGGCTTTTAAATATTGATAGATCATAATTGATTATAGATTGTGGTGGAGATAAGGCTACTGAAAAAAACAACACCTGGGAATAGCAATAGCACTTAGACTTATATCCCGCTTCATAGTGCTTTACAGGCAGTCACAGAATGGATCCCATTTGATAATAAGCATCCATGAAAGAGATCTAAAACAAGATGGATTGACGATATCAGCGAGCATTGAGGGCCCAATTGGCAAAAGAAAACTCAGGGCTGTATTGGTTGGAAATATGTGGAAAGGGCCTTCATCCGGCAGTGAATAGACAATGGCTAAAATGATGATGATGATGAAATTATGGCGAGGCAACAGAAAAAAGTCTTAATAGCAAGAACTGTTGAACAGGGACACCAAATGCCTTGGAGGGTAATGGATTCCCCTTCGTCTGAGTCTTTATAATCAAGAGGCGAAATGGTCATCTCTTGGAGATACAGTAATGCAGTACAGACCACTCCTGAACTGGCAAGGTGATCTGTGTAAAGAGCCACGGAGAGAAAACTCAACCAAGAAAACAAAATCACAAAACGGACGACTCACCTTCCTTCGTGAATGAGCTCTTCTGCTGAAACCATCTGCTTGTTTAGCTTCTTTACTCGCTTGTAGTGAGAAAAGCATTCCTTATGATCTTGGTCCAGTTTCAGACATTCCCGCACTTCACTTCGCACACAGGAAACAACAAGGGAGAGAGAGAATTAGAGGTTGTGGATTTAAGATTTTTTTTGGGGGGGGGAGGGGGTGTCTTTTAATCCGTAACCCCTGCATTGGGGTGGAGTCGGGGCAACGGAATAGAGCTGAGTGTTTACTGGCCGGATGCCCGTCCTGTTGCCAATGCGGAGTTCGCAGCAGATATTTCCTCATTGTGCTGAGGGAGAGAAATATCTGCCGCTATCTAGGATCAAACTCACAGCCTCCTGATTGTGAGGCGAGAGCTCCACCTCTAAGCCACTGCACCACTCATAGCGGAATCAAGATGCTAGTGATAAAACAACCGGAGTTCAGTGCGTGCTCCTAGTCCGTTTGCAAAAGATCCCTTCCCCTCTGTTTACTTCCTCTGTTGAGAAATAGGGATATTAATTGCCTCTCCATCAGAGGTATGGAGAAATGTAACAAAATGTAAAGGGCTTCACATACTGTGGCTGATTACATTTTAAATATTCAATTATGAGTCATGGGACGGGGGAATTGCATTCTCCTGCTTGAAGATATCCAAGAAAAATTTCACCCACTCAAGAAATATATTCATCCACTCTAGAATGTTTATTAAAGGAATTTCAGAATATACAGCCTGGACTAGCTGCAAAGTGAGGACCTTTATACACAAAATTTAGTAATTTTTCCAATTCTTTAATATAAATAAAAAATGCTCTGTGTGTATGTGTGTGTGTATGTGTGTGTGTATGTGTAAATAGATGGATGGTTAGTTAGTTAGTTAGTTAGTACATTTCCTGGAATCAATCATAGATTTAAAATTATGGGCCCATTTCATAGAGTTCAATTGTTACATGTCCAGTATTACTGCTGTCATCCCTTGCACCCAGATTGCACACACACACACACACACACACACACACACACACACACACACTTTTCTCTAGTATTAGCAGAAAAGAAACACAAAACCAACTGATATTCTTTTAAAAAGTTAGCAATAATGTCAAATTATCCAGCTGTTTAGAGACTTACTTGCAGTAATAAAATCAATAGA